AAGGTTTAATTTTTAAAAATCTAAAAAAATAAAATTAAAGGTTAAGTATGGTTAAACTGCCAATAATAATAGTTGACGATTTCAATACTCCACTACCAATAATGCAAGGAAGTAGGAGACTTGCACACAATTGATTTTATATATATATTACTCAAGAAGCAGAATAGTACGTCTGAAATATTTTCAACAATAAAGGTTTAATTTTTAAAAATCTAAAAAAATAAAATTAAAGGTTAAGTATGGTTAAACTGCCAATAATAATAGTTGACGATTTCAATACTCCACTACCAATAATGCAAGGAAGTAGGAGACTTGCACACAATTGATTTTATATATATATTACTCAAGAACAGCAGAATAGACCTAGCCAGTTTGGATCAGGAGATAGAACTTCAGCCTGTGGACCTAAGGGTCCCGGGTTCGATTCCAGTCAAAGGCATGTACCTTGGTTGCAGGCTCCTCCCTGGGGCCCGGCCCTGGTCAGGGCTCGTGCAGGAGGCAACCCATCGATGTATTTCTCTCACATCAATGTTTCTCTCTGTCTTTCCCTCTCTCTAAAAATCAATGGGAAAATATATCCTTGGGTGAGGATTAAAAACTAAATAAATTTAAAACCAAAAACACAGAACAGCAGATTAAACATTCAAGCGCATGTGGCATATCTCCATGATAGACCATATGTTAGGCCGTAAAATCTCCAGTTTAAACAGATACAAATCATAACAATGCATGTTCTCTGAATGCAATGGAATAAACCAGAAAAATTGGCTCCGGACTCCATGCCCTTAGCCCCACACTCGAAGTGGTTCTCAACCTTCCTAGTGGCGCGACCCTTTCATACAGTTCCTTATGGTTGGGGGTCATTCCTCATGTTGTGGTGACCCCCTGGGTTGCAGGCACATCCCCAGTAGGAGATGTGCAGGAGGCGGCTGATCGATGTTTCTCTCTCATTGATGTTTCTGACTCTCTATCTCTCTCCCTTCCTCTCTGTAAAAAAATCAATAAAATATATTTAAAAAAGGGGGGGGGGCTGATCGGCGATTCTCATCGATGCTAACAGATGGAACTGGAAGCTGACATCCTACATCCAACCAGCCAGCCACAACGCCCTGGGACTGGGAGCCCATCGCCCGCCCTCTGGCTGCGCCCTGAGCCCCAGGCTGCAGCCGCTTGGACACGCCCGCCCGTCGGGGCGGCACCAGCCTTGGACCTGGAACGACCTGCAGGGGGCGTGGCCACGGAGCCGAGCCCGCCCGCGTCTCGCCCGCTG